TAATAGTGCCTGGCACTTTTGTGCCTATGGGCACAGGCGCGGCATAAGGCACTAGTGCCCGGCCTGGTGCTGGGCATGGGCATTTGCAGACCTCTAGTTCAAATCAGTTTACCACGTGATAAACCCAAAACATAGTACCGTTAGAAGGTTATGTCGACTCCATATTTTAGACACCCGAAATTAGCATAGTACAGAATCCTAAAACATTTATTTAAAGAAATTTTTGTAAACGATTATATATAACGATGACGATGTCTAAAATTATAATGTGATACATCTTTTCTAAAAATTCGTAATGCACAGTAATGTAACACGATATTAAACGCAAAGTACTCATATTATACAGGAAAATACGATATCCATTCAGAGGGAAGTACAATGAAGCGACTGATCAAGATCAAAAAAGCACAGCACCATACAACACGCGAGAGACACAAGATCATAAAACACAACCAAATTCGTGAAACAATATCATAATTCCCTTTTATAACCATTTTGACGTCAATCAATTCCAAAAGTTCACAACTATGCAATTAAGATGACCTTTAGCGTCGTACGCTTAAGGGCTAATATTATTAAGTCACACTAATTAACTATATGCGTATTATTATTTATACCCCTTTCAGCGATTTGGACTTTTCGGCGTCGTATTGTAATACTGTATCAAATATTCTACTAAACCAAATAAAGCTTCTACATAAAGCCCTCGCATTTTATTTAAGTACGTACAAACCTGTAAAAATAATAGTAAAGATGTCGACCAAAATTTGCACTTCTCTTTGTCCAAATTGCGCGAATACTAGTTGGTGCACAGCATGCAACTCCAAACGTTTTTTTAAATCAAATTGGACTAATAATACAGAAACAAACGATTTTATTTATAATACTCAAATAACTGCCGAATGTCACGAGCATGTGTTAGAATTCGTTGATCAAACTAAATTTAAAAACTTAGAAAGGATCCAAAATTCTAATAACTATATTGCCGTTTGGGAAGAAGGGTATTTATTATCTTGGAACGAAAAATCGCACAAATGGAATCGTCAGGGAAAACAACGGGTTAAATTAATAACTAATTATTACAGCGAAAAACTTTTGGTTCGCTTTCTTAAAGAGGTAAAATGGTGTATTTTGATTGTGCATTATTAGTGTCCATGAAATTACATTGAATATTTTCTTTTATTCAGGAACATGAACATTCGAAAAAAGAACCATCAAAACGGCTAGTTTATGGAATAACATATATTAAATCTAAGGGTTATGCTGTAATTGAAAAAGTATTTCAATGTCCTAATTGTGATAATAAAGATATATCTCCCCGTTGGTGTAGCAGATGTATTACTGATTATTTCGAAACAAATAGTTTGAAAAGCGGAAGTTCAAGAATTGATAATTTCATTTACAATACACAAAAAAATTCCGAATTTCCCGGCCATGTCTTAGAATGGATCCCAGGAAATCAATTTAAAAATCTTGAATTGATTGACGAAGGTGCATTTGGCGCTGTTTAT